AGCTTGAGGACTGGAGAAATGAGCACGGAACGATCAAGGTTAGTACTCCTTTGTCCTTTTCCAAATAGCCTCTATGAATCCCTTTATTTCAGAACTTCCCCGGAGCCAAGAACTTCGAGCCCTTCACCGATCTCATGTTCGAAAAATGCGATATCCTCGTCCCTGCTGCTTGCGAAAAATCTATTACTAAGGATAATGCTAACAGAATTCAAGCCAAGGTTCAGCCAGAAATGAAAAGTGGAAAAACTTCGAGAAAATAAATAAGATTTCTAGGTTATTGCCGAGGCTGCTAACGGACCAACTACTCCTGCCGCTGACAAGATCCTTCTTGAGAAGGGTAACATACTTATCATTCCTGACATGTGAGTTAGCATCAAAAATTTCCAAACTTAAAAATACTGGGACACAATAGTAATATACAAATACGTCTTGAAATTTCTGTTAATAAATTACTTCAAAATAAATACAAACTATCTAAAATGGCTAGAGTTATTGGTAAACGCAGCGCTTCACAAGTAAATTAAGCCATTAGCACCACTATCAAATCCAAGACCAATAGTTCAGGTTTATTAACTCTGGTGGTGTGACTGTCTCATACTTCGAATGGCTAAAGAACTTGAACCACGTCTCATATGGTCGACTCAGCTTCAAATATGAGGAAGACTCCAACAGGATGCTTCTTCGTAAGCAGATCTTTTACTTTCGCCTTCTTTTCTGTATAAAAGGGTGATGTTTCAGAATCCGTACAAGACTCCTTGGAAAAGGCAATCGGCCATGAAGCTCCAGTAACACCCAACAAGGCATTCGAAGCCAAGATCGCTGGTGCTAGTGAGAAGGTCGGTTGGGCTATTTTTCAAGGCACCATCTATGCAAATTGAAGATGGTGAGATTCTGATGGTGTATAATAGCGGAGCCTTCAACTAAGTGATCGCCCAAGTACTGCTGTAAAAGATGAATTCTGAAGCGAGAAACTTGCTACAGAAGTTAGAAGCGGCCAGGGTAGCTCCGCCCATCAATACGAGTGTTTGCAGACAACAAGTCCAAAATTGCTCTGATGCGCAGAATCGTCATAAATCTGTCCTTCTTTGAGATTATAGATTTTCGACGTTTTCCTCCACTCTGAAGCCTTTATCATGGTCTACAGACCACACGTTGAGGGGCGGAGCTGGCGGAGCCATCTTGACCGCTTCTACTTCCTAGCGCGATTTTTTCGCTTCGGAATTTATCTTTTATAAGGGGACTTGGGCGATTATTTAGTTAGGGGCTCGACTATTGTACAGCATCAAAATCTCACCATTTTCAAC